ATTATTAAAATAATAGGTTACACTTTATTTCAATAGTCAACTTTAGACATTCTACTAACTATAAGTAACTTTGTAACTACATGTCAACTAATTCTCATTAATTTGCAACTACATGTGTACTAACTCTCAGAATAGACTTAGGGTAGGTTTAGGGTTTGTAGAATGTTGACAAAGAAAGAGTTAGAAGATATTAAGCAGACAGTCTACTAATACTCTACTAACTGCTAGTTGACATGTAGTTGCAAAGTTACTTACTGTTAATAGAATGTCTAAAGTGGACTATCGAAATAAAGTGTTACCAAATAATATTTACTACAAAAAAAAATCCAACACAGGAATTTAAACAACTAGTCAGTAATTACACGGATTTAAGTTTTAACAGATTCAGTGAGATGTTTCAGTGAAGGATTTGTGCAACTAGTTTCTTTAATGATTCATCAGAAAAAAACAGCTCATATAGTCATACACTCGTCGTCGTGCTATATGTTCTTTTTTTGTGTGCAGCCCACAAGGACAACTCAATAGATACACATATTTTTGTCGTTCTATTGTTGTACACAGTGTTTTTATCTTTTTACTTCATTCAATTCAAAGAGCAAACTCGCATTTACAGATTAAAATGTGATGCTGGGGATTCACTCTGCTGTTGAAAAGCGATAAAGGAAACACTGATGCACAGAAGTGTTTTTATCAGGGTACATCTGTATGTGCTCGCATGACAATATTCACTTACATGCAAGAATTTGTGTCTGTGCACATTTATGAGTGTGCAGGAGAGACAGAAGCAATTAATGAAGTGCTGTGAAGTGGATAAAAAGGTTCAAAACCCTCTTTCAAAAAAATGTGCTAGAAACGTTAATAAAGTACAATGGAGTGTGGCTTGATGAGAAGCTTTTCTTTTAAAGCTTAAGATAGACAAGGAATTGGACACAGCCTGTCTCCCAAACAAATGTCAAGACTTCATGTCATCCTTGCCAGTGACAGTAATTTTCATGCTTTAGGAGCAGGATTAAAAGTTGACTCATGGAATAAAGCAGCTCTCACACATTTTGAATAGATGTGGTATAAAGCTAATTCAAAAACAAAGGCCTCTGCTGTATGGGATCTCATCATGACTAATTACGAGGGATAATTTGAAATGCCTTTGGAAAAAGAAGCCCTAGTAAATGTAAAGCAGTTTAATTAGGCCAAATTGATCAGAATCAAGAGGACTGCTAAAAGCATACGCTGTCACAATGAGGTAACCTGTACAGAATCTGCAAAACTAACACCTAGGTGTTAAAGCCATCCATTATTATAGAAATGGAGTAAATCACATTTTTAAGGGATAGTTTTTTCTATGTCAGGCATACTTTTTTTCCCCTTTCCTTTTACATTATAAGGCTTAAATAAACTGGGTGTTTTAAAGTAGGCAATTACAGTCCTTAAAATGTATTTTGTGTATGTTTTTGTAATAGGGTGGCTTATTAATATCTTTCATATTCAGTGATTGGTAGCATTTGATCTCTTACATAGAATTAGCTAAATAAAATACATAAAACATCACAACTGTACAAAGCAAGCATTTATGTTGTTGAATATGGGTCACAATCCTTTTCAAACCCCTGTATTAAGTCATTTCAATTTATCTTCTCTTTTTGATTCGGTAGTTTTATTTTTGGCAATGGGAGTTTATAACAGACCTGCCAAGCGTTTTTACCATTTTTACCTTTTAAGCATTTTTAAAGTATGCTGGTATGATTTGTCAAAAAAAACAAAAAAACAACTTTGAACGACTTTGGGCCAGTTTTACTAAACAGGGCAAATTAGTGCGAGAGCGCAGTTGCAAAACAGCACTGATGGGAGGGGACATTTCTGCGGGTGATTTACTAACAACACGCAAATTAAAGAACAGACACAACATTTCATTTACATATCAACGCAATATACCAAGCGCAACTCAAATTAGCGTAGTCACAAATAAAGAAATAAAGAAGCCACAGTATGTTGAAAAGAACTGGGGCCCAAAAAATGAAGTCCTGTCCTCACTGTCCTCTGTGGTGCCTCCTCCTAGCAACAATAATTGCAGCCATTTCAAGCACAAAATAGTTTGACATGCTTTTATTGGATGTTAAATAATAGCGCAAATGCCAGTAATTTGACGAGCGCAAACGTTAGTAAAACACATTGCGTGATTCATTTGAATATTCTCCTCCCAAACTCCTACAAATGCATATTCAATAAGGTCTGGCACAAAAAAAAAACTGTGTCCACGCCTTTTGGTTTTGAGCAAGTTTTGTCACCATGGTAACTTCCAATACACAGCTACCCTGCTCCAGAGCAGGTTTTATTCTGGGTTAGAGGTCACAAACCCAAACTGGACCAATCAGCTTTGATCAAAGTGACATATATCTGATGCAATGAAGCCACTCCCCCATATCTCTAGCTCCAAATTAAAGCAGTTAAAATTTTAGAGACAAAATTGCCCGACTTTTGTTGCTACTTATTATATTAATTATAATTGATTATATTTCATATAATATATTCATATTATTATATTAAGTGGCAATTAATTTTAAGCTTTGCATTAACATTATTTGTAAATTGTTTGGACTAATTATTTGGACTTGTAACCCGAAGGTCATGGATTCAAGTCTCAGGTCCAGCAGGAATTGTAGGTGGGGGGAGTAAATAACCAGCGCTCTCTCCACCTTCAATATCACGACTGAGGTGAGACCCTTGAGCAAATCACCGAGCCCCCAACTGCTCCCTGGGCGCCACAGCATTGGCTTCCCACTGCTCAGGATGTGTGTTCACTTCTGTGTGTGTATACACTTGGATGGGTTAAATGCAGAGCACAAATTCAGAGTATGGGACACCGTACTTGGCAAAACGTCACTTCACTTTCACAAGCTTTAATATATCCAACTTATTTTCCTTTTGAGGTCTGTGTGAAACTATATAAGTAATTAAATTCAGTTGATTCCTTTGCATAGTGCAATAACTAGGATTTACACAAGCTTCAGTCTGGATCCAGAACACCTGAGAAGAGATGATGCAACTCCTCAGAGGACCTCAGATGATGCCAACCCTGAAACAACATACAGAACTACCACATTTTGCTATAAGTTTGATTGCATCATATAATAATTGCTGTTAATATTATTCATCGTCTGTTTTATTACGTCTTATATTGATTTTTCCGTTCTGCTGGTTCGTCTGGTCAGAGGAGAACTGGCCCCCCGACTGAGCCTGGTTTCTCCCAAGGTTTTTTCTCCATTCTGTCACCGATGGAGTTTTGGTTCCTTGCCGCTGTCGCCTCTGGCTTGCTTAGTTGGGGACACTTCATTTCCAGCGTTATTGTTGACATGATTGCAAAGATATTATTTAAACTGAGCTGGATGTTGACATCACTGAATTCAATGATGAACTGTCTTTAACTGAAAAATGAGTGTTTACTATTGTCATTTTGCATTATTGACACTATTTTCCTAATTAATGCTGTTCAGTTGCTTTGTCACAATCTGTATTGTTAAAAGCGCTATATAAATAAAGGTGACTTGACTTGACTTGACATAGTCATAGATTTTCTTTTTGCTGCCTTCTCAAACTTTTGCTACAGCATAAGTGTTTATTCCTGCCTTGTAAATGCATTTAAATATATATTTTTAAAATAAAAACATCCCCTAATCTTCAGCAGAAAAGTGAATTGCGCTGACTCTCACGATAAGTGAATCCAACTGACGCTTTGCTGATGCTCTCCACGTTTCATGTGATTGGCTGTTTTCTGCACACGTCACACTTTCAGGTGCATGTGCTCCAGAGTTAATCACAAACTCTGGTTCATGAGTTGACAGAGAACATTTATATTCAGCTTTGTGAGCCCGCTGATCCTGATCTAAACCAGGTTGGATTGTTTTGGCTGTGTCAACTCTAAACCTACTCTGAAACAATGAGTTTGTTCATCTCGCTTCATGCTACAGGCCACAGGTTATTAGGACCATAGCGAGTTGAAAATCTCAAACATGAGTAGGTTTGCTACTACATGCCATCTACCATTCACTAGAATATTAGTAGACTGGCTGCTTAACAACTGCTATCACTTTATTTTAAAGGTCCCCCAACACATTCTACTGACTTTAAGTAACTTTGCAAGTATATGTCAACTTATTGTACTATTCCTAAACCTAAAACTAACACTAAGCCTACACCTCACAGACTTAGGAAGAGTGGGATCTAACCTAGAACCAGCTCAGTCCTTAAACCTAGCCCTCACAGGTTTGGGAAGGGTGGGATCTAACCTGGAACTGACTCAAACCATAAACCTAGCCCTCACATACTTGGGGGAAGGCAGGATCTAGCCCTGAACTGACTCACAACCTAAACCTACCTCTCACTGGTTTGGGAAGGAAGGATTAGAAACCGAGCCCTTGGGTTACTAACCCTAGGCTTGCGTTTTTGTGAATCACCTTACATCTATTCTTATACCTAGGCCCGATGCATGGAATTCGATGATGTACCAGAATTATCCAGCCTTGACCTTTGGGTTGGGGCTGGTTTCGTTCCTCTGGAGCAGGCTTTGTCAAAACCCTCACATTTTTGGGCCAAGTTAGATCCTCTCCATAGTAATACATGTAGAATTGTTTTTAAAAAGGTTTTGTGAACACGTTTTCTTGGTGAAATGTGATGCTGGGCCAGGATTGTCCATCCTTGACCTATGGGTTGAGGCTGGGCTCGCTGGTCTGGAGCAGGCTTTGTCAAGGGCCTCAAATTTCTGGGTCAAGTTAGATCTATTCCAGAGTTAATGCGCGCACACAGGATTGTTTTTTCGGGGGTATATGAGTTTGGAATACCAGAGACTGTATCCCCAGTCAGTAGTGAGGGAGGCTGGTCACCCCTTGGAGGTTCGGGTGCTGCATCTTCGTTCAGGACCACCTTCATCCTCGACAGTAGGGAAGATCAGAACCGGATCGGAACAAAAGCACAGGGCTTCTGTTTTTTTCAGTATCTTAAAAACATTAATGGCTAAAGTCTGATAACATTGTATTCAGCACAAACTGGGCTACAATAATTTGTGAGCAGCATGAATGTACATGCTTGTGTTTTTTAGAAAACAATGTTTATGCGTGGAAACAAAAATAATTCAAATTAAGCCAGCTTTGGTTACTCCATGTATAAAATAACGAAATAATAACAAAAGAAAACAACAAAGGATGAAAAATGGGAGTTGTGATGGTCGTGGGGGTTATGAGGGGACGATGATCCAAATTCATTCTCTGTTCTGAATACTCCCTTATAGAGAAAATAAAGAAGTTCTCAAAATGGGAAGGGATCTGGATAGGTGGGGTCTTTTTGGGAGGGCAAAGGTCATGCTTGAACTTCAGTGTTCGGTAGTGGATTGGTAAATGGTTTTCGGTTCTTATGCGTGTAGGATTGTAATTGACTGAGGTTTGAAATGGGCAACAAACACTGGAAAATAGATAGAAAAGAAAAAAATAAATAAAAATGGTTAGCATGGTTGAGAGTGCAGAACCAAGATAGGGGGTTCACGGGGCATGGTTCACCTAGCTTATCCTAGAGCTTCTTGCACCTGACAATTATCCCTGGTAAGGATGATGTTTGCTCAGTTGTTACATTAAATTTAGAGGGAAGGGCTGTTAGAAGCTTGCTGTACAAAAATGTGCATCTGCCAGTCTCGACTCTCAGCCCAAGTTGAGTTTATGGGGTCTATCCTTGGGGAATGAAGGACCTGGCAACTGGTTTCTCGTTGTTATATGGCTGCTTTGTTCGTCAATGGACTCTCTGTTTTAGGTCGGCAGAGGGGGAAATGACAGTCCCCTCAAATTGTGCTTGTTCCCAGGCTGACAAAGGGCCCTAAGAAGAGACCTTTCTCACAGCCTTTTCTCGAGTGACCTGGATACCTAGCGGTGTTAACAAAAAGTTGCTTTGGGGAGCGGTAAGTATCCAGCCCCCCAGGTCCACTTGGACAGCATGCAGGGACGGTGGGCTGGGGCTAACGGGCCTTAATTGGAGCCCAGTTTTTTACAGTTACAGCACCTCTCACGCAACAGCACATTTTGCACCCAAAACACTTGTACATCTTAATTTTTTGGTGTAGTGGTAAAAATCATGAAGGCCAGTATGAAAATTCTCAGATTAGAAGTTAACACATCTGGTGGTTGTCCCCACAAAGGATGATGTTGGTCCGGTTCGTCTTGACCTTCAGGGGGAAGGACTAGTAGAAGCTTGGCAGTTTCAACTCCTGAACCCCAAGCTAGAGATATTCACCTTCGACCTAAAAAAAAATTTGAGAAAAAGGATGAGCAGTTTAACTCTGTCTAGATCCAAAAAAATGGGATTGTGGATCTGGTTTAGATCGAAATAGCAACTGACTATAAAACACATGCCTAAGATTGATCACCCAAGGTGCCCCAGAGGAGGGTCTGTAGTGTTTAAGGAGCCGGAACACCTGATGAACACATCTGATGATATGTCTTAAATATTCCCCCAGGCCGATGATATAAGTCTTAGTTCTAATTTTAAGAGGTCTTAAATTTGGGAATAAAGAATCACGATATAGCTTAATGTGATGATTAAACTTCAAAAGGCTGTAAATTGAATAAATATGAGCACTGAAGGAAACCGACTATCTCCAAAAATGTTTCAATGGTATTTTCATTTAATCTTTCATATAATGCTTAATAAAACAGTGTTTATGAGTGCAGAGCTGCTTTTTGTACAGCCGTTACCGGGGAAACCACTATATTTCTGCTTTGTTGAAAAGCCCCAGCTACTGGCAGAAAAAAAAAAAAAAAAAAAGATTTTGCATCACTGATCATTATACAGATCAGTGATTTGCATTTCCAATAAGCTAGTCTGCTGTTTTAGTTAAAACTAATGTGAAAATCGACCCATGTTTTTACATAGCAAACACGCAGTATTGTACATGTGATAGAAGCTCATGTGCCTTCTAAAAATCTAAACAATTAACACTTTATACATTTTAAATTAATATTATGATTTATATGTTTGACTCATCCCTTTTCTTTTAGATGCTCAAATGTGATGTTTATCATTTATTAGATTTTTGTGAACACCTGTATCTGAACTGTAAATCATGTCACTTTACATTTAATATGTTACCAAACAGAAAGAAAGAACTTCAACACAAATCTCCATCGCTCCATGCAAGTGATTACCAATGGTGGCATGTGTGCCAGTCGTTGGTGATTTCTGCTTTATGATCTGCTGTAGAGATAGTCAGATCAACAGTACCTTGATAAAATATTGTAGTTTATGCAGACAATCACAATACGGTGTTTGTTGAAGATTTAAATATATCAATTGAACATGGAATTCCCAGTTTGCTTTCACTCTGCAGCAGTGGTTCCCAAACTGGGGGCGGAGTTATAAAAAAAGGGGTCATGGCAAGGCTAGAGAATAGTTTATAGACAGCAGGTGATATAAAATAAATCTTCAGGGTGATACAAGATGCCGCAGTGAAATTGTCCCACTTGAGTAAATAATTAAACACAAAAATATTAATTTGACATTGTATTACCTCAAGATGACTCACAGTCCTCTCTTGTGCAGTCTGTTATAAGTTGTAGCGGTTGTTTACGTCGAATAACAGCCTGCTGGATGGCATGATTGAAGAATCAGAATTGAGTATTGCAGGGAGCCATGTGAAAATATGAATGAACGATACATGTGTCACAGTTGCTTGCAGGCAAGAAGGTGAAGACAGAAGAATAAATTCCAACGTTTAATGAACAATCTAAAAAGGCAGGCAAACAAAAGGTACAAAACCAACCTAGCATAACAGTGACTTGACCATGACTGAACTTGAGGGAAGAATATATAAAGGCAACACAAACGAGATGATAAATCAAACACAGCTGGAGACTAATGATTACAAACGAGGAGTGGGAAATCAAACAAAGGAAATGGGAACTAATGACCAACATATACTAAAAGTCTGTGAATGTCAAATCTAAAGTCCATGAACAAAACTGACAAACATAACTGTGACAGCATGGTCTTGCACTAAGCATGGATAAGTTTGTGAAAGGATTGCCAGTGCCAGGTAAACATAAAACAGATGATGAATCTACTTTAAATGTCACAGCTACCAAAACAACGCGTCTAAACCAGACATGAGAAGCGTGACGCGACAAAAGCAAATAGAGCCCATTAAAATCCGATTCTGTCTACTCTGCCACTACAAATTTCCGACAGTAAACTGATGGCCAGTTTTATTTCTGATGTACTCCAAACAGTCCCACAACTTCTGACACAAAGGACAAATGGATTTGCAACATTTGTGTTGAAACAAACACTATAGTGTGACAAAAGAGGCACACACAATGTAAGAAGGATGGCTATAAGTGATCAGATCACAAGTGATCACAAATCATACTCTATTGGAATTCCAAAATAATTGGTGATATGTTAAAGAGTTCATAAAACCGAAAATCTTTTTTTTTTTTTACATTTACACACAAAAGGTTGCTCTAAAAAAAAAGCATGTCTCAAAGCTAACGCACCAGTTTGAAAGTTGTTTTCCACCCTTTTAAAACACTAGGATTTACTTTCATGACCTTGTGGTATCTCAAACGTGTATATGTAAAGGAGGACGTCCTGAAGACTTCTTCACTGCACTCGAGCCTCTTTCTTTGAAGTTCTTGATGGTCCCGAAATGGATCTTTCAGGTGCAATATTCTTTGAAGCAATTTCCTTGCATGTGAGGCCATTTTGATGCAAAGCGATGATGGCTGCATGTGTTTCTTTGGCGGTAACCATTGCTAACAAGAACACAATGATTGGAAGCTCTTCTTCCCTCCTTTTGTAGCAATCAGTCTGCTCTTACAATCTAATTATTATGATAGTGATTTAACATGACTAGTACTCATTCACACTTTCACATGTGCTGCTGATATGATTAGTCAATTAATGTTAGCTGGTCATTTTGTGTCAGGATAAAAAAAACAGTCAAATGTATTTATTTTTTTGTGAAAAAGGCCAATTTTTGGCCAATTAAGCTTTTAGAAATTATTTAAAATGCATCTGATAACTACACAATAATCTAGAAACAATGGTAATGATCACCACAACAGCTTAAGCAGCAAACTTTGCAAAACACAAATTTTATGTCACTGCCAAAACTTTTGGCCATGACTGTATGCATGGAATACCCGGATGACTTACTATATTTGCCAGAATCTGCTAAATATAACTCAAGTACACTGAAATCAGTACAGAAACTGTGTTCGGAATGGCATACTACCATACAACTCTTACTATATTGCAGTTAGCTATTGTCACAGAATGGTGTCGAAAATAAACTCACACACAAAGAAGATGACAGTAATTAGTCTTTTAATAATCCACAAGAGGGTAATTCCACAGACAGGTAGAACATTCAATACCGGATGAGGGAACACTGACCAGACTAGAACTTAAATACAAAGGCAAATGAGGATGATTAACGACACACACCTGAACCAAATGACTGGTCTAGGTCAGTGGTTCCCAACCCTGGTCCTGGAGGCACCCCAACACTGCACATTTAGCATGTCTCCTTTCTCTGACACACCAATTTTAGGTCTTAAAGTCTCTACTAATGAGCTGATGTCCTGAATCAGGTGTGTTTGATTAAGGAGACATGCAAAACGTACAGTGTTGGGAACCACTGGTCTAGGTCACAGAACACATGAGGAACAAAGACACAATCAAAAAGTATATGTGTATACTGTGAATAGTATGTGAATTTTATGTATGCATGGAATTCCCAGATTACCTGATAAATTTGCTGAAATTTGATGTATGTATCTGAAGACACTGCGTGGGATACTGTTTCTCAGAACGCAACGCGCTCCATGTGACGTTTCATCTTTAAACGGGTGAGTTAACTGGAGGTTGGGAATAGTAATTATAAATGTAACACTTTTATATGTACGTATATACATGTAAAGTACAAACTTTCACTGTGTATCTAAAAATGATATCGTTATTAGGATATAAATTGTACTTGAATCTCTATGGCAGTGGTCGGCAACAGGTGGCCCGCAGCCAGATTATTTTGATAGTGGCTGGGTCTGAAATAGATCTGTCATGGCAGCAACAGTTACTCACAATCAGAGTATGTGAGCGGAGCGTGGTGTCATTTTGACTGGAGCGAGGAGCGGATTTTTTTAAAGTCGGAGCGTGGTTTTCACTCGCTCCACCACCGCTCCATCACGAGTACAATTCATGCCAACAGCCTGTAATATAACTGCATATTTAGCAAGAATTCACATGTTAAACATATTTAGCCAGCTTGACAGAGAAGGATCACTCAAATCAGAAAGAATGTGAAGCTATGATGACGGCAATGAACATGAGCTGGAAGTTATAGTTCTCAAGGAATTTTTTTGTTCCTTCTAGATACTGAATATTTTCAGCTGAAAGCATGATTTAAACAAGTACTACAACACATTCACACGCAATCGCTCTCTCAATAATGCATTCAAACAAATGTAATCTTACAGTGCTACTTCATCTGTATCCAATTTCGAATGAGCAGAAATCTGTAAGGAATGCATCGATCCGTAGGTAAAACAACTGACAAAAACGTTATTTTCATCACAAACAAAATTTGCACCGCAAAAAGAAGCAATTATATATTTTAATGCTGACAACCATGTTATTAGCTTGTCATGTGGTAGGAAAAAAGTTTGAACACTAGTGTTCTAATAAACCACTTTGAAACTGCTGTTATTTTATTTATTGAATTTTTTTATATACATTATGTACAGAACTGTGATATTTCAAACATACTGAAATACTTTAGCCGCAGAGCGGTGTTTCTGTAAGGAGTGGAGCGGGAGCGGGAAATGGTGAACGGAGTGATTATTAAAATGCTCGGAGCGCGGAGGGGAAATTGTTGACACTCCGCTCACATACTCTGCGTGGTGCAGAAATACACTTCAATGCCACATCATCAGAAATCTTATTCAGGCCAAACAGTTCAACGTAATTGTCAGTATTAGATAACCAAATTATCAGTTTCTGCTTCTTACATGAGTGAAAGTAAGTGTATTTAATGGCTCGTTTCCACTGAGTGGTACGGTACAGTACAGTTCAGTACAGTACAATTCGGTACGGGTAACCCTGATCAGGCTTGCGTTTCCACTGCCAATAGTACCCTTCTTGATAGGCGTGGTGTATGCCGGAAAGCAGCGATCGACGATGAACCGCGACAATAAGCACAACTCCTCTTTTTGTTAAATGTCAATTTTAATGAACAATAATAGCCATTTATAAAAGTAAAAGTACAACGTATAAGAGGCTTATATAAGAGGAAATAAAAACAAAAGCAAACAGTTCAGTCAAATGTATGCTACAAAGTCAGCACTGTACTACGGTATAGTTCAAAATAAATATATAAAGTTAAACATAACTTTGTGCTTCGCCAAAACGATATGACCAGGAATAAATAATAGATTCATGAGACCACGAATGCCTGTTAAATATAGCCTACCCAAAACAAATTGTATCTCATGTTTGATCACTACAGAGACATCAGAGCCAGCGGCAAATGTCGGAAGGACTAGACGAGTTGAGGCTGCTCTCGGCGGATACATGAGCACTGAGCACCTGCTGATCACCTGGAGCTATGAAATTTTCAAATAGGCGCTATCTTTATAAATAAACCGCAGATTTGAGTTTTAAACAATTACTTTCTCGCCTGAAAAACCCTTAAAACTACATTTCATGACACAATAACAGTAATATTTAGAAAATTACGTGGGTTTTTGGGCAATGGCGTTTCACAAGTCCACAAGAACGCATATTGAGAAACTGCTATTGTCTGTGTGAAAATATAAAGTTATAAAATACGCGGTTATATTTTTTTGTTTGCGCACTCTGATGTAAATAAGCCCAACACTCATGGACAGCAGAGAGGAACGAGTGAAGGAGAAGCTTTATCCCAGCGGTGTTTCTGTAAGGAGTGGAGCGGGAGCGGGAAATGGTGAACGGAGTGATTATTAAAATGCTCGGAGCGCGGAGGGGAAATTGTTGACACTCCGCTCACATACTCTGCGTGGTGCAGAAATACACTTCAATGCCACATCATCAGAAATCTTATTCAGGCCAAACAGTTCAACGTAATTGTCAGTATTAGATAACCAAATTATCAGTTTCTGCTTCTTACATGAGTGAAAGTAAGTGTATTTAATGGCTCGTTTCCACTGAGTGGTACGGTACAGTACAGTTCAGTACAGTACAATTCGGTACGGGTAACCCTGATCAGGCTTGCGTTTCCACTGCCAATAGTACCCTTCTTGATAGGCGTGGTGTATGCCGGAAAGCAGCGATCGACGATGAACCGCGACAATAAGCACAACTCCTCTTTTTGTTAAATGTCAATTTTAATGAACAATAATAGCCATTTATAAAAGTAAAAGTACAACGTATAAGAGGCTTATATAAGAGGAAATAAAAACAAAAGCAAACAGTTCAGTCAAATGTATGCTACAAAGTCAGCACTGTACTACGGTATAGTTCAAAATAAATATATAAAGTTAAACATAACTTTGTGCTTCGCCAAAACGATATGACCAGGAATAAATAATAGATTCATGAGACCACGAATGCCTGTTAAATATAGCCTACCCAAAACAAATTGTATCTCATGTTTGATCACTACAGAGACATCAGAGCCAGCGGCAAATGTCGGAAGGACTAGACGAGTTGAGGCTGCTCTCGGCGGATACATGAGCACTGAGCACCTGCTGATCACCTGGAGCTATGAAATTTTCAAATAGGCGCTATCTTTATAAATAAACCGCAGATTTG